CGGGAAGCGGGCCGGGCCCCAGCAAGTGCCTAGAAGGCGGCTGGGGGTGGGGGGCAGGCTGCGGGGTCCGTGGCAGTGCTGTCCCCGCCGCCCCTGCCAGGGCAAAACCTTTCCGCGTAGCTGGTCGCGGAGCGGAGGCAGAGAGCAGGTTTCAGAGCGCGCAGGACGGTTCGGGTGCAGGCTGCACCGCTGGAAGGCAGTCGGGTTGCAGGGTGTTAAATTCGGCAACGGTGTCCCACAGACCCGGTGCACAAACCCGAAAGTGCGTGTGTATCTTCAGGCAAAAATGGGAAGCGTTGGATTGCCTAAATATATGGTTATTGTGAGGTCTCTAATAATAATCCAGGTCTATTAATATTGAGTCACAGGAGTGGCAATCAAGGCTTCATGGCTGCCACCTGCATTTTACATGTTGCATGTGCGTAATTAAGAAGTATTTTATAAGCAGCAGCTCTGTCTGCCAGCGTTAATACCTTATTCTCTTCCATGTGTGTCTGAACTCAACCCATTCTGGGAAGTGTTGTGATGGTAGACCCTAGTGGCAGTCTATTTTTTCAGGCAAGCCAAAAATTTAATATTGTCTAATAGATCTAAAAGTTACCTCAAGCCTAGAGATAACACAGAGCTGTCAGCAGGACCATCCCTCTCTCATTGGTCCCGCTGCGGGTAGGAGAGAAGGGTGCAGGGTTTCTCCTTTTCTGCCAATCCTGCCTCTTTCTCCATTCTTTTTACTAGAACGAAATATTTAACTGTAAGGACTGCAGAGAGAGATCTGGCTTCAAAATGCAAAGCCCCAAGAATTCACTTTTGCTCTGTTAGTCACAGATTCAATTGTTTGCCAAAGTTATCAAAGTTTCGAAGAAAATGGTTTAGCATGGAACTAAATGTCTAAGAAATTCTTCTATTCAAGCACAGTAGTTCAAAGTCCAACACATTTCATGTCGCCACATTTGTCTGCGCTCTGTTTAATCCTTACCCCTCTTGAGGAGGACTCCATCATCTGATCGTTCA